AGATAGCCAGTGATCAAGTCAATTGAAGGTGGCCTGTTGAGGATATCTTTATTGAGGGCATCCATTTAGGCTAGTAGGTCCTTTCCTGGGGGTTGAGTTCTGTTTTCGATGCACCAATTGCTATTTATGGCTAGTTATGATATGATAAGGCCTCAAGTACATGAATTAACAGCGTTTGGTAATTGTATGGACCACATACACTGATCTAGCGATACACTGACCGCCATGTCACTCACATGCATGACGGGACCCTTCCGGAATTAAGGGATTTAGTCTCGTGGTAGAACTCTGAAACAACTTAAAGAAGATTAACGGGATTGACGAGGTTAATGAGGTTGGACAAATAAAGTCTGAGAGGTTAGGTTATGTAATGTTGCTCGAACTCCGATGCTCATCAATTTTTAGGAGTAGTAGTCCGGATATGAACGCGTTCGAACGGTTTGAGTCTATTAAGAGCTGACCCCTGATGTGTCGAGACTTGATAGGTTAGGTTTGCCAGGCCAAGTACCATTATTGGCTCCAGAGCTAATGGACTACCTCGGACATGGTATTTTCTGTTCTCTTGAGATAGCCTTCATTTGATACGAATTTAATAGCTTAGGGTTAGGTTCAGCTATCGATTGTAGATTGCACTATTAATAGGAGTACTGTGATCTGGCGGTTTAGAGTGTTCCATCAGGAGATACAATTACTGGCTATAAACCTATAATGGCGCCATGTTTGTGTTACGGTCGTCAGGTTGAGACCTAGGTTTCGTGTACAGATACGTTCTAATGGAAATCGGATTGAGGATTTAGAAAATGGACAACGTAACAAAATGGCGGGAAATAGGTTGCTGTCTAACCTAAAATTACAAACGGTTGAATATTAAGACACAGCATTAATTTCTACTCCTGATCATTTTTCCTCCGCGCTATTTTTAGAGGCGATCCTTTTAAACGCGTGCATCCCCTGATTGTTCGCAATTTCACGGACCCGAACCGACCGAAAGCGCTTGCAATTTTTACGAGGCTTTAATCAGGCTACCGATTCAATCTCGCGTGCAACCGCCTAGAAGAAATTTCCTCCCGTTTAGCCTGATTTGTGGCAGCCTTTAAACCCTCCACTTTGAAATCAAAACCGAAACGTTCGGGATTAGAGTTTATTATTTAATCCGAAGTCGTTGATATTTTTTTTTTACTATTATTATTTTTATTATTATTTTGCGTGGATAAATGTTTATGTAAATTTGTTAGAATACGTCTGAACAATATCTAAAAGATGTACAAGACCAATATAGAATTTTACAATGTACAAATATTTATTTAACCAATCGAAAACTTTGTTCTAAACGAGTGCTCCATTTGCTCAACTAAACCGATCAACTTGCTAGCTTGAATCGCAAATATCTCGAAAACTATCGTATTCACAGCAAAACTACTTATCACCAAAAATGAAGATCACGAAATTTTCTATAAAAAAGGTCGAATAAGTTTCTCCCTCCAACCAATAGTTTACACGTAACACGACATAATAAAGAAAACTAAACAATTTTACGTATGTTTCTGTTTAGGCTCGCGTTATGCCTAAAATATCGATAGTTCGAAAAAATGTGTCCTACAATTTTTCTACCGAATTTCTTTGTCTTTAATTTTGGTTATTAGCAATTTGATCGTAAACGCGATCGTTTTCGAGATATCGAGTAAAACAAGGGAAACCGTTTCTCTTCGAAAGTACTTGTGCGCAGTCAGCGTGGGAGTAGCAATTAATGAAGCAATTACGCTGTATAAATGATGGCGGGGGTCGTTGGTAATCAATGTTGTTAATTTCGTTCCAGGAGGGCCGGGGGGAAGTGACAGACATAAGCGCAAGTCCTGGGAGGCAAGCTCCTGCCAACCAGTTGCGCCCCAAGGAACCACCCCCCATGGTCATTCAAGGAGACTTCAGAAAGGTATCAACAATAATATTTTCCATCAAATAATTTACCATACTTCGTCACGCAAGTGCGATCATTCTGTTGTTCCAATTGTACATACAAAGTGTCCAATATAAACTCTCACAGACCTATTTTTCTACAAAGCAACGAGTGTATTTTATATTTGCTATACAATTAAGTAACTTGTAATTATAATTGTAATTGTGCATAGTTGTAGTCATAAGGAAAGATTGATCGATTCTCTAAATAAAAGCAGCATTTAGTCACTTAAATATAATTTAAATTGAATACAAACTTATTAACAATGGACAATTATTAAACAAACGTCTCCCATTAAATAGTTAATCATTTCCTGTGTTTGCTTTCATGAGTAACTGGAGTCGCAATTGGAGAAAGACTGTTCTTCTGTTTAGCGATACTTTAGGTAAAGAGATATCTCAATTTGTGAGAATCGATTAGACCTATGTGGTGTCATTGATCAATTTAATTAGCGAGGGGAAGGATTAAGCCACAAGGAGAGCACTATTCGTGAAACTATTCCAGCAACAAACGCTGTAAACCTAATTGTAATATAAGATAAATAACCCTCTAGAAAAATAACTGTACAAACCTTCTACAAATTCAGAGTTCTTTATAAGCAGTTAAATTCAAACAATTTAAAAGAAAATAGCTGAGGCTTCCATAGTTCAGTTCTTTATGATTGATAATAACAAAGGCTCACAGCTAGAAACGTCACTCATCTTCAAACAATTTCAGCCAGTTTCAGACAAGATGTTTAAGACTTACAGCATCAGTTACTTTCAAACATTTTCAAAAACAATATTTAAGGCTTCCATAGTCCAGTTTGTGGGAAGGGGGAATATATCACCACACTCTTTTTATTTAATACAAAGTTCAAGGGTCTAACCTGGGGGTTGATATGTCAGTCTGCCAGGGTTTTATTCTTACATATATGGATAATGATTAGTTAATGTATACTATATATGTAACGAGTATTTATTACACATATTGATTGACGACTCTACACACTTTTCTTCTTTTCTCACACCTAACCTCATTCCTGACACACACATGCCAACTTTACTCACTTTTCAAGCATACCAACATTCCAACTCTCACAGTTCTTTATAATTGATATTATCAAAGGCTCATAGCCAGAAACGTCACTCACCTTCAAACAATTTCAGCCAGCTTCAGACAAGATGTTTAAGGCTCACAGCATCAGTTACTTTCAAACAGTTTGAAACCGTTCCAAACGGTACCAAACGGCCGAGTTACAAATTTTTCTCATTTTGTATTGTTATAGGGATAATGGCCTCCTTTAGTTGGTAGCTATGTATTGTGTGTCGTTGGCAAGCGTGTATGTGAGTTGTTACTCAGAGCTAAATGGATAATTTTCGTTATTGATCGAATAATGGGACAACTATTTCTACTTTGATTATATTTAAATGAGGTTAAACGCACGATAATTAATTAATATAGTTAATCAAAACGGTTCGCTTGCTCGGGTAAGAGAGTAGGCGCATGCGCAGCAGACATACAAAACGAAAATTGGCGCATCGACACCACACGCACGCTCGCAAAGCTTATAACAAAAAAAGCACTAGCTTAGATATCGAGCTTTTACGTCGTCAATAATGTATAAGCACAGTTGTAAGGTTTATATTATACAAATGAATGTAGTAGGAAATATGAGGAAAATATAAGGTAAAAAATAATTATAAGGTAAAAGATAAATAATAATAACAACATATATGCAACCTACTATCTTCCACTTACAAAGAATGATAAAAAGAAGCCGCCCCGGTGCCCTCTGGAATAGTTTCACGAGATTCCCACCCAAAGCAAACGTCCTTCGTTACATTTGTTGAAGCGTAAGGACCTGTCGTTGCAGGTGAGCGGGATCAGCACCGAGATCTTCAAGCAGATCGAGACGGTCGAAAACGATCATGACGCCTCAACGGCAGCAGCCCTCGAAGCTGTCGAACGGAGGGGTGAGATGGTCGTGCGAGTCATCGAGCCACGGCAAATGGGCAGGCAGGCGTCGGAAGCCGCGAAGAAATTCACCGCGATGCAGGTCTGATGATTCTTCGTTTAATTATGTCATTCGTTAATTCCTGAAGCGTTCCTTGCACCTCATCGACCCAAAACAATGGGATGGTAATCGGAGATTAGGCCTAGCATTTTCTAAATTACAAGCAGCAATATTAAGTACCACCTTATCATTCCTTATCATTTCATCTTCTACATAGAAATCCTTGCTTCGGACAGGTCTGGTTCCCTGAAAGCACAGACGGTTGCCTGATAACAGATCCCATCGGAGTAGTAAATCTCTGCTTTGAAGGGGCCCGATTCCCTGAAAACACATGTAGAGTAGTAACTGGCCTTCCCAGTTAGGTTATTCCACCAGCCAAGTTGTAATAATTGCTTCCCATTTTTATTTGTCATTCAATACTATGAAATATCAGCTGATATCGCAGAAACTTTCTTGTTCCAGGATCCGAAGCACCCCATCCACTTTGTGGAAATAATCAAGAGGCCAGGGCAGACGCTAGGGCTCTACATACGCGAGGGTAACGGCGTCGACAGGAACGACGGCGTCTTTATCTCGAGGATAGCCCTGGAGACCGCTGTCTACAACAGCGGCTGCTTGAAGGTGATGCTCCTTTTTCCACCAGAAACCTCTAGACGCCCTCTAACCCTTTCTTCATATTTTACTGCGCCAGCAACTCTAATTCCTACTAACTCCTAACTCCTAACTCCACTCTAGTAACTTACAAGGAACCTCCAGCAACAGAAAATTAATGTGTGCTCTTCGGAACAATTTTTAATGTAAATTCAGATATCAGTGGTCGTATTTATAAATTTATATCCATCAATTAATACTGTTCCTGGTTCCTTGTTCCAGGTGGGTGACGAGATCCTAGCGGTGAACCTGGTCGACGTAACACACATGAGCCTAGATGATGTGGTAATCATCATGTCGATACCCAGGAGGCTTGTCTTGGCAACGAGACACGGTCAGCACCAGCCCATCTCCCACAGTCGTCAAACTGAGCACAAGGCACCACCAGTTGTCGTGATCAAGAGGGAGTTGAACGAAGACGAGAGTGATCATGCAACGAGCAATCATGTCAGGTACTCTATATTTAATGTTAAGTGCATTTATATCGCACAGTGTGGGATAGATGAAACACAGACCATCTAATAATGATTTTAATTGCAGAGATGGTAATCGTAGACGTGGCGATGGTCGCGAAATGCTGCCATCCAGGTCGAGACTGGGTCTGACAGGTCTAGGATCCAGCCAGGATCTAGGATCAAGCAACGGTGATTTGTACTACAATTCCAGACCGGAGGGACACTGGTCCTACCAACCACCGCCACCACCAGTCATCACACACCAACCAAAACCGTCAGCTACGCAACATTTCCAGCCGTACGAGCGTGGATATCCCAAAACGTTGGAGAGTTTGGCTGAAAAAGTAAGTCCTGAGTGATATCTCATTCTTTGTCCATTATTCTGACGCAGGTCGAGATTTAATTTCAAGAAAACATTGAAATTGACTCTGTCGGCAGGAGAGAAATGAAAGAAAAATGTGTATCGGATGAAGATTTGTGTCTGACAATCGGTAGAAGGCAACGATGCAATGAAAATTCATCTGATAATTCTTGATCGAGTCGCAAGAACACTATTTATATAATGATTTATACATACTATTCATATAATCTATGTAATTGTCTTTTGGATGCCTTATGTAGTAATGAGAAAGTATACAGCCACCAACACAGCCTATCAAAATTATACAAACACTTCGATTTTTGAGGTTCCAGTATCTTAAAATAGTTTTACTACGATATTCAATATGCAGTTACATTTTGCCATTTGCATTTTAAAATTAAAAGAAAGAATCAAATATATATAAACACTTATTAAACAAAAATTTTTATTAAATTTCATATCAAAATAACAGGTTTAGATGTTTTTCTATGTTCAGTTTCAAATTTTAATGAATTATATATCTCAGTAACGCTGTGGTCAATGATTGTTACTTTTTGTTATACGGTTTATAATTATATACGTTTCTTATAACATGTCAAACTTTCAGCAACTTCACAAATTGCAATTTGATTCAAATTGAACAAGTTCACTATGAAAATCTGTACGTTCCATAAGAAGCTGTATTAAAATTACAAAATTTTTATATCATTTTTCATAAAAATTTTATAACTTCGGTTCTTGTAACACATCAAACGTTTTGTTAAAATACTACATTAAATAAATTCATGGAACAACTACTTTAAGATATCTAAACCTCCAAAATCCAAGTATTTGTATACTTTTGATACCCAGTGTAGTGAACTCCGAAGCAATTCTCTTAGGATAGTTAACGTAAAGACAAGAACGAGACTCCTTATTGCTTATTCAGCTTACGATGCCTCAGATCTAGCTAATGGAGCTCTCTTTAAGTCGAAGCTTGCCAATCTACGAAAGATGAAACTCGAGCTATACCTCAACCATAAATCTCCAGCTGCTGTCAGGAGTAGGTCACACATAGATGTTCTAGACGATGTGGATCGAGCACCCTTTCACATACCTGTCTGCACCAAGTTGACACTTGTTTGCCCTTTTCTGTCCTCAATTGCAATCGCGATTAATAAGAAAGTGGTGAATTCGTGGCAATGTATCGAGACACTCTTGATAGAGATCAGTGTGATGCGTGCTGTCCTGATCTCCAAGACGTTTGGATGGGGGAAATAATCCTTGTGGAAACGAAAAAAAGGAGCGGATTGTATCGTAACAGTATTGATAGTCAGGGACTTGTCCGAGTATCGTCCAAACGACTTGGAGGACGATGGTACGCAGCTCTCTCGTGTTTCGACCACGTGTTTCACATGACTAATCGGTTCTATGAATGAATGCTACGTTGATATTAACCAGGATTTCACAAAGGTAAAGAAACCACTAACTCTTTCTTGATATCTAGACTTGTGTATGAGCGCAATTTCCTGCACCGTGCCCGACCTGGACAGTGGACAAGCATTTGTACATTTTCATGTGGGTCAGTTTCATCTTCAAATAGCTGCAAATAAATTGGATGGTTGAAATAAACATTGCTTGGATCCCATAAAATGGCCAAACGTTTGTCAGTGTCCACGTGGAATTGATCACGCGTATGTCTCTCACTGTTTGTGATGTGAACCTACTTTTTGTTGCCTCGTAAGCTTTGCTATGCGCTCGTTCTTTCAATTTCTTTTTTTCTGAGTATTGTCTCACCTCGTGACGATCCGTGATCGTCATAGTCCACACGATAAATGGATCCATGGACTAATAAATCGCTCAAATGCAGATTAAAAGAATGTACCACTACTGGAAGATCCATCGATCGTGTTGGCACAAGTAATTCACAGTTGGAGTTTCCTTCGACCACAGTCGACTTGAATTTTTCCTTAACACTTTAGCTATTGGCTTACTTTAAGTCTAATACATGTTTGAACGAGATTTTCTACATTAGCATTAATGTAGGATAATGTAAACTTCTGCTGCCAAGTGTAGCGAAAGCTTTGTAAACATTGGAATTAAAATACCTGTAAGAATATTTTATGTCACGCTTTGACTACTGTTATCCAGGAGGAATCTACAAGTTAGAAGTCTTTGCTACATTAGATTATATTAATGCAGGCTTACGATACCTTCTGCATACAAGTCTTGGGAGATTCCCTATGTTACAGTCAATGATACAATTTATAGGTTCCATTAAACATTGAAATTAAAATGCAAACAAGTTTAGAAAGCCAAAGGAGTAGATAAAGTGTTAATTACTAACCCTGTAATTACATTGAGTACAACCCTTGTACAGATCTTTTATCTGGTCAGCTGTGAGTCGAAGGAACACATATATGCATTCAGAATAGAACAACGCGAGATTGACAACTGTTAATGGATTCAGGTACACTCTTTCTACACGGGGCCTGTAATGCCCTCTAATGGTGGTCGACGAATGTCCACGGGCGCAGGAATGCAGTCAATTGGTGGCAGATTGTCTGGTCAGACCCAGTCTTCGCACTATGGATATGGTCAGCACTCAAGCAGTGGAAGAATCATGCCTAGAAGTGGCTCTGATCAGCATCTACCCCGTGTGGATTACACCAGCATCACCACACCTGCTCGACACACTCTTCTTAGATCTAGCTTGAAGTCAGGTCTGCAATTTTCCATTTCATACAAGAACTACTCGTTACCACTTTCTCGTCACTCACTTTTAGTATTTTCCATGAATATTTGTTATCTAAATACTAGGAAACCAATTGCAATATTTCTTGTTGTTATATACTAGGTATCAAAAATGCACAAACGCTTGGATTTTAACCTCACTTGATAGTTATTCGGTTAAATATGAATCACATAGCCTATTTCGACTTAAACTGACCACCCCAGTTTTATTAAATCTATGTGACAATTTTGTAACTTTAACACAGTTTCTTATGGAACAGATATCACGTACATTAAATTTGGAATTTAATGAATTATCGAAGCTTCTTAAACATCTTGCTTCGTCTCAAATAAGAATATAATAGAAATATGGTCGGTATGATACTTTTTTTTTAATCAAAATAGGTACGTCAGCATTGAGATACAACACAAGGTATGCTACCCAAGCCGATACAACGTCGTCCACCCAGAGGCAAGGTCAGTTTGGCACCCTGACGAGGAGGCATCGACCATCGTTAGATTATGCGTCAGACACAGAGGCAACGTGTTCCAGTTCGCCTAAGTCAGCGTATTATTACTACAGGCACAACATGAATAATCCACCGCAAAGCAGCGCTGTCTCACACCTGGCGACCCTCTCGAGGTCGCAAATTGGTCAGAGTTCCTCTGGTTAGTAGCTATTGTCCCTATAATAAACATTAATAAGCGGAAAAATTGCAATGGTGTACAATAAAAATGTTACGATGATCTGAAAAACATCTAAAAGAATAAGCTAAATTGTTCAAGTACTCTTAAATCTCCTTTTGTCATTTATTCTGGGTCTACCATACCGTGAAAGTTACACAACACAGATATAATCAACAGAGATAATCACGTCTGTACATCTATTACAGGTTTGAGGTCGAATTCGTTACCTCGAAGTGGCAGAACATTGCCTCAGCAACCTGGTCTTCGATCAGGACTTAGCACAGTAGCATCAGGGCTGATCGATCAAGAAGACAGCGATGGAGCGCTATCAGCACCTGAGTTGCCTTCTATCAGGCGTGACAGAGGTAAGAAATTAATTTATCTATCAACTATTACAATAATTGTTACCAAAAAGTGAGTTAACAAGCGAGTAATGTTAAAAAGAAATTGGAAATACATAGGTATATAGGTAAAATCACTGTACGATACTGATATTAGTATAGTTCAGTGAGGAGTAAATTAATTTATCTACCAACTGTTATAATAATTGTTACCAAAAAGTGAGTTAACAAGCGAGTAATGTTAAAAAGAAATTGGAAATACATAGGTATATAGGTAAAATCACTGTACGATACTGATATTAGTGTAGTTTAGTGAGTTTAATCGATGGACTAGCTAGTTCTCGTGATAATGAGTCTATGAATCTGTATAAATCTATAAGTTACATGGATGTGTGAACAGGGAGAATACCATCATCACCAAGTGTGTTCACATCGGATGAGTATCGAGCATGGCTGAGTCGAACACCAAGCACCAGTGCATTGTACGAGCAAATCAGGGCGACCACGAGTAGGCCACCTCGTTATACCTACAGTGCTGAGAACATTCACGCAGCTGTCAATCAAGTAAAGAATATTTATTTCACCGTTATTACGATAATTAATTTAATATATTAATACCTAAAACGAAACAGAACGTAATCACAGAAAACACTGCACTGTACACAGTAGCGGGGACAGATATTGAACTACGTATTCTTATTGTTACAAGTGGGAGGTATTAAAAGAAAAAATAGCACTGGATTTTACTAATAAAGAGGATAATACTTAATGATAGAATGATCGAGTGTAAACATTGTTTGCGTACAATTACATAAATCATGATAGAAGAAGTGTATTTAATAATTTTTAAAGGGAAGTAGACATTTAGACAGAAATAGAACATTTACTTTTTACTTATATAATAAAATGAATAAAAGAATAGAAACCTAGATCACTGACGTTACAGTAGTACCAACCTAAACTCGATACAGAACCACTGTTCATAGGGGAATTCCCAAACATCTAAAAGAATAAGAAACCTATATTACTGATCTCACAGTACTACCAACTTAAACTCAATACAGAACCACGATTGCTCGTGTCCCAAAATATAAATGTAATTCACGTTCTTCAGGGTGATTACGGCAACTACGGGGCGTACAGGCCACTGTCAAGCACTCTGGACCGTCTGTCGACAAGATCAGCCTCGGCACAACAAGTGAACCTGGCCAATCTGAGAGCATCGACGGCGATCAGCTCAACCTGTCACCGTGGAACGACGAATCCAAGACCGGCCTCGGTTGCGTCGAGCGCGCGCGCGTCCCTGACGAGTCAGAAACCGTCTCTCAGCAACTCGACCGCACAGAGAGCGACCTCAGTAAGGAGAATCAGGAATCTACTGGACCTGGAGTCAACGAGAAGCATACCCACCCCCACGCCTACCAGAACTCAGGATCAAAGACTGCTAGACATTAATCCTGCAGGTGAGGAGAAAGGAGCGTGAAGTCTAGTTTCTTTGGACCATGAGTTTTTTCTTTTGCTCGTTGGAGGGGTCTTTAGAAGACATCGTTCACCTCTTGGGGAAAGACCAGAGGTTTGAGATTCCACAGACTGTAGGGACTTTCCCATTAATATTTCTACAGTGTGGGGAACCTCTTACACCTGCAGAGTCATAAGGAAGATCTCCTTTCTTTTGCAGAGTTCCTCAAGTATAAGATAGAGAAGCCACCGACTGTAGGGACTCCGAACTCGACTAGTTCTCTCTTGAGCTCGCTCGGGGAAACCAACAGTGGCGATCTGGCAGGTGGGGTCAGCGGATTGCTCTACGTCCATCTGTTGGCAGGACGCGGCCTCCGTTCGACGACGTCCTCGTCAGCGGCTACCACACCCTCCACGCCATCAGGTCAGCCTAATTTAGGTATGTTCGGGTCTCCACGTCCCTTGGCAGGTTCTACGCTGCACAGACACCGCGGTTAACTCGACTCTTCGAAATACAACAATTCCGTTTAGCATCAGCGACATTGCGATTTGATATTCAAAACTTAGAAGCTCTGTTAATAATGGACACTTTGAATTGACTTTTTTCCAACGACATTTCTGTACTAAAATAGCTAGTTGTGGCTTGAGAGACCTGTACTGCGTACTGGAGTGCGACAGGGTGCACAAAGCGAGGACAGTGGTCCGGACCGGTGACCTGATGTTCGACTGGGACGAGACCTTCGAGCTGGACCTCGTTGGCAACCGGCAGTTAGACCTCCTCGTCTATTCCTGGGATCCGCAGTACAGGCACAAGCTCTGTTACAAGGGATCCGTGCACCTGGCCACCCTCCTCAAGGAATCGCCTGTTCACCAGTTGGCCGTCAAGGTCGAGCCACGTGGCACGATTTATTTGAAACTGCGTTACACCGATGCTCAGCAAACCTTCCGACGGAGGGGACTGCCAGTGATATCCTTGGCCACCAGGGCTGCTCCTCTCTTCGGTGTTGATCTGGACACCGTGGTGAGTCCATCAGGGGTTCCCCTTTTGAGGAAGACGAGGTATTGCGTGGGATTCTACGTTCACTAATTTTGATGGTTGTCTTCAGGTAAGCAGAGAGAGCAAAACTGGAGGAGTCACTGGAGGAGTTTCCACTGCCTTAGCAATGGGGGTACCAAACGTTCCCATAATCGTCTGGCGCTGTGTCGAGGAGGTTGAAAGAAGGGGTCTTGACATCATCGGTGGGTTTGCTTTCTTTTTCTAGTACTTGAGGAATTTCAACCGGCAGTGTCCAAGTGCCAGACTGTCCCCATGTTGTCATTGTTAATTTTGGACTCCCGTAGAGCCAAATAAACTGGCCCTGGTGGTATCAATCTTCACCAGGGTCTGCTGTTATCGTTACGATACTTGTTAAGAGTTAGTTAGTTAGTTAGTTAGTTAGTTATTTTCTTTAGACTTGTACAACTTGGTGTGTGTCTCAAGATGGCGTTTGAGGTGTTATTTGTTAAGAGTTGAGCTTTCGTATTCTGGCCTTTTCTGTGCAAGGCTAGGTATAAATTTTTTTATGACCAAGGATCACTAACGCACACCGAGCGAGTCTATCTATCTATCTCGCACGCGCTCTCTCTGCTCGCGCAGTCTTCCTCTATTTTTCACCGTGATAGCTCACGGAAAAGTTCATTTCTGTATTAATATAATTCTCTATATTTCTAGTAGAACGTTTACAGTTTCTTTCTTCAGTTCCAGTTCCAGTTATTTATTTAATGGGGTCAGATAATCTCTTGACATTTGCACTATTCCTTTTTACACTTTATAAAAATATAAACTTTTGTTACATCTCATATTACATTTTTCTTAACATTATATCCTTATTTACTATGTATTATAAACAGTTTAGATATTTCTATTCTCGTTTCTAATATTTTATATCCACAGTTTCTTTCTCTGGTACCCACCACTGGTTTACCCTTAACGATACTTATGAAGTGTTCTCACGATCACAGGCTTGTACAGACTTTGTGGGTCAGCGTCGAAGAAGAGGATACTCAGGGAGGCTTTCGAGAGGAACGCTCGTTCCGTGAACCTGTCACCTGACAATGTACCAGATATCAACGTTATCACTGGTAAATTAAACTGTAATAGCGTAGTACAGTTATTAATTTAGAAGCATTTCCTTTGCTAGAACCCATCACAAATTACTTGCTTCTTCAATCTCAACGTCAAAGCATCCATTATAATGGAAATATATATTTATTAGGTTGTCCCGAAAGTTTCTTTCGCGAGCTGCACTCAATTATTTTATCTGGTCGTGTTTATATAAATAGACAATCTAATTTCATAGATATTCATGTTGTAATAGTAATGCAGCAAAATGAATCGTGCACAATTCAGTAATGTAACATAAAATATAAAATATTGTGCATGTATTACTTATTAATAAAGCGAAAGAAACTTTTGGGACAACCTAATACAAGGAATATGGTTTAAAGTATCTGCAACCTTGAGAACCCAATTTTTTTCTAGGTGTACTGAAAGACTACCTACGAGAACTTCCAGAACCACTCTTCACGAAGTGCCTCTACCAAATGATGGTCGATGCACTGACTGTTTGCATACCGGATGATCCTCAGGGCAACGCCAAACTAATGTTCAGTATACTCAACTGTCTACCAAAAGTGAACAGGGTTGGTATCCACTCTAAATTTTCTTTAATAGTATCTCAATTAATCACGCGCTCTACCTTTTTCTCTAGAAGCTATCAATTGTCTGTTCAATTACAGTGCACGTTAATTTACTTGCTGGACCACTTGGCAATGGTGGTGTCGCAGTGCAACAAAATGTCTCCTGCTAGTCTGGCAGTCTGCTTCGGACCTGTCTTGATGCTATACTCCGAGGAGAACGGACCACCCCTGGACTTCCAACAGCCAATCGCTGTTCTCAAGTATCTCCTTGAAATATGGCCAGTTAAGTCAGGTAATGTCGTCATTTCTTTCTCCCAAGTAGAAAGTAAACATCACCACCCTGACAATCTCGCGATACACATCTATGTTATCATAAATACGCTCCATCAACTGTAGGGGAGACTGAGGATGCCTTGGACAATAATAAAATTTAATAAAACTAATTTAATTAGTTTCTGGTTATCCGATTGAACTTCACCAAATTTTTAACTAGAGTTCCATGACTTTCAAAAACTCCCAGTACTTCCTAGAAAAGCATTTAGTTTTTGCAAGCATATGTCCAAGTTGTCCTCAGTTACTCCTGCAGTTGCCAAAGAGCTCAAGGCTGCATAAACACTTACACCTGAAGAATAAGAGCCGAATAATCAGTCGCTCATTTCACAGACAGTTCGGAAGATTTCTTCAGTCGCTTCAGCACTTCCTCGAGTTACGCCACCAGTCGAGCACAACAACAGTCAGCAGCTTCTGCAGCAGCAGCCGCAGCAACAGGTGCAGCAACAAATCCAGGGAACATTGGGACGCACAGGGCTGCCCTGGCAGCAGCAACACTCACTTCATCAACAGTCTCCAACTACGGTACCCGCAGCCCTCGCTCCCTCCACTCGTCCACCACCCCCGGTCAAGCCTCGACAGGTCAGTCTTCCCTCGGTGTTCTCGCCTTATCTCGACCACATTCGTCTCGATCTCTCGCCTTTCTTCACCCTGCTCCTTTGTCGACGTTCACAGGTGGTTTGAACGAGTTCAGAAGTACCTCTTAAGCAGAGAAGTTACGCAGGGATTAAGGTCAAGCGTAGAGTTTGCCTATCCACTTGTAGCGTTCGAGGCTATCTTCAGTTTTTGTTTTGTTTCTAAACACTCGGACAAAATTCAACGATTGCACTTGACCCGATTACTCGTTTGGGTTGTACGATACCACCAAACTGGGGTATTTTATAGTTCTGCGTAGCAACACCTGCTTTCATCTTAGAAAAGAATGATACGGTTGAAACTGGTACAGAGGATGGGCAAAAGAGAAGCAAGAGATACATAAGAATTTATAAATTTCCTGCTATACGGTTCTTTCTTCTTCTACTTGAAGCCTTTTGCTTCGAATTAAAACAATTTCAAGTCTCCTCGTCACCTATGCATTCGAAAACCAAATGAAAAACCAGAAAACTTTTAAGTAGATCCACTAAAATGCTAAAGCTTTATCTACTGACACAATTTTCTATCACTAATACCTTAACGTATCATACACTTCATATGATTTTTTGAAAAGTGAAACGAAACGCTTCAAGAAATTCGACCACAATCTCGTCTCGCTCTCCGCTTTTCTGTCCGTGTCCCATATGCATTATCTGAAACGTGTTGTGAACAGCATGGTAGGCAAAGTAAACGACTCTGTTTCTCTCCCTTTGTTTCGCTTCGCAGAACAACCCTGCCGCGCTTCCATAATATCGAATCATCCAAGCAACGAGACGTTCATTCATATACTCATTCATTACATTCGTTTGTTCATCGATTAGGGTCGCCGTGAACCTCGAGGATACTCGAGTCTGTTGGTCGCTGCAAATTTTTCATCGCGGCCCTTCCACTTGCTTGAAAAATATCTCTGCGCTTCACATGAATTCACTTTTCACTCGAACATGTTGGCCAACTGCAGCTTAATCTGCTGATTCATACAAATTCTAAATAAACGTTTATCTTTTCCTTGGTTTAAAGTAATAACCGACATGGTACAATTAAAATAACGTTTAAAATCGTTGAAAATACTAAAAATATATCCTTTGGGTTTATGTTATTTCCAAGTTTTGTTTAAATAATTCTCGCACAATTACATGTTTCAAATATGGCAGGTGGGAGGGGGGGAGAGAGAGAAAACACCGTGAAAGGCTTGTTTGTGCCATGATCCCTCCAATGCAGAGGCACTGCCATAAAGTACAGTGGGTGTAGAAAGTATTCGTACACCGATAAATTTCCAAAAAGACTGTGTAAAATTGTAATTTATTAACTTATGTTTTATAATCAATGACATTCTACATATTCTCGGAAATCTCTAGAATAGATAGATTACAAAAAAAAAATAGCTATTTATGTAATCGATAGAAATGTTGAAGAAATAAGTATTCGCACAACTGTTTAGAAGTACTTTACTGGATATATGATGTTTTCTAATTCGTACGGAGCAATAAATTGATGTGTTTACGTTATAAACTCTACTGTAAATGGTTCGTCATAAGAATCGTACAAATGCTTATTGCTTCTATACTTTTACCCACTTTTCGCATTTTTTTGTTAATTTCTCAAATTACATTAACTAGTAAATGTTGTTTGAACTATATCTATCTCAGAGACTTCCGAGAATATGTAAAATGTCATTGATTATAAAGAAGGAAGTTAAGAAACTACAATTGTACACAAAAATTTTTTGGGAAATTGATCGGTGTACGAATACATTCTACACCCACTGTATAATAATAATAGTAACTGGAATTGGAGAATTTATTGCGAGCATAAAACCATTCAGAGATAAAAATCTTTCTTCAGCAAGGAAGGAAGCTTGTCCTAAACGGTGAAAAATTTGCCAGACGAGAAAAAGGTCGTGTAAATATTGCCAATACCACCAAAAACGCCTCCGTGCATGTCTCGATGTCAGTTCTGTAAATTATTTGGATGTAACAATTCCGCGGGACGCTTATGATTTCCGTTCCAACGCCACCAGTCTCGACGTCTTTCTATTATAGTGACGATTTACGTTGTCTTCTTTATCTTTTTTCGTTTGGGCACGTATTCTTCAGAGCAAGCGCAAATTGCCGGCTCTACCAAACCGCTGACAGCACAGAGACGCCGCTTCTTGCACAGGTATTATCGTTATTATCGTTTTCACTCGCGTTTTACATCAGCCTTTAGTTATCGTTATCATATGCATGGTCTGTGTCAGGCAACGATCAGCCAAAACACATCAGTTCATACCACAGGGTAGTTTCACACAGACGAAACCCTCATCAAAACCTTCGACCAACCCTTCATTTCTATACCGCTATCAAAAATATACGAACACTTATTACAACAATAAGGTTTTTCTCCATGTTCACTTTCAAACTGTAATGAATTATATTTCAGTAACGCTGTGGTCAATGATTGTTATTTTTTGTTAAATGACTTATAATTACGTTTCTTATAACGTATCAAACCTTCAGCAACTTCCTAAATTGCAATTTGATTTAAATTGAAAAAAGTTCACGGTGAGAATCTGTATGTTCTATAAGAAGTTTTTCATAAAATTAGGTTGGACAATTTAAATCGCAATAGGCTCATTTAATTCATATTTAATAATAAACTTTTAATAGTAAAAGTGAGAGACGAAAAGTGGTAGTTACCTGAAAAAATTCACTGTGAGAGTCTGTATGTTCTATAAGAAGTTCTTCATAAAACTAGGTTGGACAATTTAAATCGTAATAGGCTCATGTGATTCATATTTAATCAAATAACAATCGAATGAAGTTTTGTTAACGTCCTATATTAAATAAATCTATGGAACATTTACCTTAAGATACTGAAACCTCCAAAATCCAAGTGTTCGTGTACTTTTCATACAGTGACTTCAACAAAAGCCCCGAAGCAAGTCGAATAGCATCTAATTAGAACCAGTGTACAGCATGGAAACATTTGAAGGTATTATAGCTACATTGACAGTGTTACTTCTTAAAAGATGCATGTGCATTGGATACCGAGAAACTTTGGGGGTTTTGTCTCTGTAAGAATACTCTCTGTTCATACTTACACATATTTATCCACCATTAATGTCACTTTTCATCATGTCACACACAGAGTGGACTTCAGTAATAATAAATACAGAGGAGAATTAGAAATTAGAATAGAATTAGAAAATAGAGTAAAGGGAAGATACAGAAAAAGTACTAGTTAATAATTTGATTCTCTAAAACATTTTAATGTCTGACAGTCTGCGAGATCATTAGTCTATCGTAGCATGTAGTAATTCAATCATGAGCATTGCATCTTGGTATACAATTTCCAGTATGATACACATAATGTCGAATTGCAATCATGTAATGTCCTTCACACTTGAATGTTATCCTCGACACTTGAAGTATCGTACACAACAGTACATAAACACAATACATAAAGCGAAGCACCTCGTTTAAGAAATAGAGGATAGAATAGAGGACATCATTTGAACTGTACATTGATACATAAAAGTAAATCGATCAATCTTGGAAAGGTTTTGTTCGAACATTCTCAGGACTTTCTCACTGATCCAATGAACAACAATACTAATGCAAATCAAGCCCTATAGGCGCCATTGAAAATTTTCAACAGGTAATTCCTTGCGAAGAACATACAATCGTATCGTCTCAGACTCCTCTGCGCGCCTGTATCCATTTTGGCCACACATTTCTCAAAAACGAAGGCCTCGACTCTAAACTCACTCTGCAAAACCGCACCATTTTTCTAGAGGAATTCTCTAGCGATGTCTTTGCATCAGAAACACTATACCCATCTTGCACGCAGCCACAAAACATAATCTATTCGTGTACTATGTTCTTGTATCGTATGCTGCTTAACCCTCTGTGCAGCAGACCTTTGTTTAAACTTCGATTAATTCCCAACCCTCTATCGCATAATGCAATTTTTATTAAACTGATCAGCAAAAAATAAAATTCATACGATAAGGGGTTTCCCAGTTGGAAACTCGATTCAGGAGGGGTGCAGAGGGTTAACATTCTCTTGTTAAAGTCCCTAGAGAAAGTCAAAGAGTTAATAAAAAATGTCTGCACAGGTGATAGTCTCGTCTCCCGGTTCACCTAGCAGTGAGGAGTCAGAAGCATCACCAGAGCCAATTAACAAGAGCCTCCTGGGTGGCTTGGGACTCGAGAAGGGCAACGAAGGGGCTACAGCTGACTCGACTGGCCCTGGAACAGAACAAATCACCCCAACCAGCAGCGTAGACACAGAGGAAGGAAACACACCACATCCAGAAGAAGGCGAACGAGGAGTCGAGGGTGACGCTGAGGCCAGTGACTGTTGATTTCAGTACATTCTTGTCGAACCTCACTCGACTTGGGACTGTGAAGGGTTGAAGTCTCATTGAATGCATTTTCGGGATGTGTCTTTACTAGCTTGAGGAAGAATCTCTTATTTGAAGTCAATCTGATTCGCAGATTGTTGATGGAAATTATAGAGTCAGCGTTGGGCATTAGACAAATTTTATGTGTTAATGGCTAGTTGTCGGTTGTTGGTTGTCGAGTTGAACTGTGAGTAAACTTATAGTGGACCCTTTATTGTTAGTTTCTTTAAAAATTATTTGAAGACTAGTACGATGAAGAACTACCATCATGAATTTTTCTTCTCAATGATGATGAAGAAGTAATTGGAAAGTTCAATTGCTCTCGATGATTAGATAATATTAATATTAATATTGAGTAAAAATAATATTGAGTTATCGGTTCGAGGAAGTTTTGCCCAACTCTGGTGATATTTATTCGCAAACATTGTAAAAGAGGATTCTTAGAGATTTTTGTTGTTTGTAAGCGAAACGAGAGCGAAAGGAAGTTCTTGGAACATTGCTTGTCAATCAGTATTTCATGTATCGTAATACTTCTTCAACATGTTCACAGTCATCAGTTTGTCAGTGACTGTGGACTTGTTAAAAAATCAACTAATAATGAATTCATTTCTCTTTTTAAATATAGTCAGCTTTTATATGCGTATCAAAAGTATACAAACACTTGTATTTCAGAGATTTCGATACATAATTTATCTTAAGGTAGTTGTTTCATGGATTTATTTAATGTATGATGTTAACAAAACCTCACTCGATTGTTATTTGATTAAATATGAATTATATTTGAACATACAGATGCGAGCTAAGGCTTGATCTCTTTAAATTTAAATCAAGTTGCAATTTATGAAGTTGCTGAAAGTTTGATGTGTTATAATAACCGAAATTACAAACCATTTAAGAAAAATAATAATTATTGGCCACATTGTTAATGATATATAATTCATTAAAATTTGAAACCGAATGTAGAAAATAACCTAAGCTTGTTATTTTAATAAGTGTTCGTATAATTTTGATACGCGATTTTGAAAAACCTTGGAAGGGCTGGACCAAGGATCGATCGAAATTTTAAATAAAATGTCAACAAGCAAGCGAGCTAAGAGTTCCCTTCCTCTCAGTCTGCAACTTTTGTGGTGCGTCGATGAAAACTAAAAGAAAAAGATGCGATATTTTGTTCTTTCAAGTTTAAAGAAGATAACTCTTCGAAGATTAAACGCGTTGACTGCTTCGATTTAGAAGTCTGATTATGGTGCAATACTTGTATCGTTGAACAATTTTTCATTCGATGAGCAAATGGTGAGAATTGGGTTTGCAGCGTAAGCTGTGCAAGACACGAATCTAGTCTATACTGTGTTTAACGTTTTCTAGTCGATGATTTCTTCTTTGGAAGCATTTATTATATTGTTACTACGTTAGTTGAAAACGTTTTCCTCGCGTGATGTTGTGTTTTTAGATGTTTATACGTGTTCCTGTGGCAGTCAGCGCGTCGAGTTCCACGCATGCTCTTATAAAACGACACCGTGGCCGTGCAATTGTACGATACAAGGCTGATTCTTGTCGCCAGACGCACAATACGAGCGATCATTGTTTCCCAGACGAAACGACGCGCATAATGGGACCACCGCGATTATCCGTTAAAAAACTAATCACTGAAATTGACGATCTGACGACCGACTGGAAGCCTTTCGCGAGATTTTTTCATACGAATTCTTTCTATATTGTACAACACACGTGAAATCTAAGAAATAAGAAGAAGAAGAAAAAAAAAACGAATATCGAGGTTTACAGTTTAAAAAGAGAGTTTCCCACTCTTCGGCTGCGATAATTTTAGAATCACAAAAGACTGTGTTGGTGTACGTCACAAACAGGTTCCTAGTTTGCACAAAATTCGACTATTAGACTTAACTCGAGCAGCTGAAGAGTAATTGGCGAGAGATTTGAATTTTTCCTCACGCACAAAAAACAAAAGAAAAAGCCCAATACAATTTCGAGGACCCTGGACTTCTTTTCTGTTCCGTGCTGAGATCCACCAGACCTCTTTCAGTCCAATGTCGACCAACCGAAGGGTGGAGCCGTCAAACGAAGGCCTGAAACCGATGGAATAAGATTAAGGGACGGACGATACTTTCAAAACGTGTCTACCGTGTCTCGAACTGCACAAATCTACCAAACGACTGATAGCAAACGAGTCTGAACTGCCCCAAAGCGAGGAGGACCCCAGGGGAATCCCTGAATCGCGCGCAGCCTTAGGCGGTGATTCCCAGCTGCAGAAGACAAAAAACGACTGATCAGACTGGAATGACGACGAGTATAGAGGGGAGGAGAGACACACGAGAAACGAAGAATATTACCCGTACACAACGTTCGGTTTATATACAATATACTATATATAAATATATATATATATACATATTATATATACATATTATATATACACACATAGGCTAGTCACGATATACATGTGCTTTTGATAAAAAACTATTACTTGTAGCAGTTAGCTAGCCATCGTATACAGAACACGAAGGAACTGCTGATGTACACGAACCTGCGTACACGTATACGTGCACTGACGAAAATTTGGTGGAGGAAAAAGAGATAGCATGGTCACGGTGAATCAGGAAATTATTTGCACGCATTAGGAGTAGCGTCCAAGGTAAAAAAGAGACGCACGATTTCTCTATGACCTCTATTTCAGATGTACGGATACATAGATTATGAATAGACTGAGGACTTTTATGCATTTGTAGGAAATTTTAATGTACAAAATGCACACAGTATGCAATAATATAAAAACTATTGAAAGTTAAAGTTCATATTATAATATTTGCTGAACATAATAAATTCCTATTTAGGTTCTATTTTATGTAGATACGTTTGCGAAGACTTTATTTTGCACAAAGATCCGCAGTCTAATTATTAGGTTGTCCAAACAGTTTCTTCCATTTCATTAATACGTAATACATACACAATATTTTGTCTCTAAGGTTACATTATTGAATTACATTATCGTGTACGATTCATTTTGCTCCGTTACTATTACAACATTAACATCTAAGAAATTAGGTTGTCTATTTATATAAACATTGCCACACAAAATAACTGAGTGCTAGTCACGATTCATTTTGCTCCGTTACTATTACAACATTAACATCTAAGAAATTAGGTTGTCTATTTATATAAACATTGCCACACAAAATAACTGAGTGCAAGTCACGGATGAAACTTTTGGGACAACCTAATATGAATTTGTACATTCATATTATCTTTCTGGCATTTCCCAAGTCACAGAGTAGAATGGAGAATTCCTCAAGCCACAGCGTAGACTGAAGAATCCCCCAAGTCACAGCGTAGAATGGAGAATTCCTCAAGCCACAGCATAAACTGGGAGATTTCTTAGGCCACAGTGTAGACTGAAGGATTCCACAAGTCACAGCATAGATTGAGAGATTCTTCAAGCCACAGCGTAGAATGGAGAATTCCTCAGGCCACAGCATAAACTGGAAGATTTCTTAGGTCACAGTGTAGACTGAAGGATTCCACGAGTCACAGCATAGATTGAGGGATTCTTCAAGCCACAGCGTAGAATGGAGAATTCCTCAAGCTACAGCGTAGACTGGGAGATTTCTTAGGCCACAGTGTAGACCGAAGGA